TATGTAATATTATATTTCGATAGTTTATTATAAATGGATATGAAGGTTTTCAACTAAATGATAATAGCAAAGGTGTTTTTTGCACCAGGCACACATTAGGAGCGTTTGCTCCTCACAGTTGGTAACTGAGCAACAAAGATCATAAAACTTAAAGTATATATCCTTTGGTTTATGAATTTCACCAATCGTTTCATTAATTATTTTAGCTTGCACAAATCCAGACTTAATGAGATTTTTGAATTGTGGAGCAGATAATTGATTGTGAATAATAGAATGTGTATTTATAAAACTTTGCCGATCATCTATAGTCATTTCTGTTCTATTTATATGAGTATAATGTTCGATTTTCTTGTGAAAATATCGCCATGAACGAAACAAAGATAAATTTAATGGCTGAATATGACCAGTTGATCCTTCAGGAAAAATCAATAATTGACTGTCTTGATTTGGGAATACTGTTCTAAACCTGTTTAGATCAGTTTGAGTTCTCCAAGAATCAAGGAAAAGTAAAAATTTTCTACCCACCAATGGACGCAAAACATCATTTAAAAAAATGCTGTGCTTTTCGATGCTGCCTTTCCCAGATTTTGAAGCTTGTACTATAATATTTGGTGGAATGATCATGTTTTTTTGCACCATTTTGCCGAATTCATTTTCTNTGGGTAGAAAATTTTTACTTTTCCTTGAAGAATAAGCATAAACTTTTCTAATAATTGACCATCAGCTGATGTAATAGGCTGGACTGTATACGAATGTGTTATACTATTCTTTTTCTTAACAGCTACTTCTGTTGTTCTTTCACCAGTAAAAGAAAGTGTTCTTGGAGAAACATATTCCTGTTGAAACGAACAATGGTCACTATTTAAAATTTTATGAGATAAATAATTTGAAATTAAAGATCTTTTGTTCTCTACCCATTCTTGAGTATTTACAATATAGATATGTATCATATTAAAACAAACTTATTTAGACATTAAATAAATCTCCATACCGTTCATGCTGCAAACTTTTCTGTTTGATGCACTTCGAGTAATAAGCTTGGTGTATCGTCTTGATGATATTCGATTATTCTTCTTAAACGACTTGATAAATGTTGCACTAGCTTTAAAACTATCCCAGCCTAATTGTTTTGCTTTTTGAAGTGCAAAAAGTTGTAAGTCAGTATCGTGAACTACTTCTTTTTCTATTGCTCTTTTTATATAAAATTCATTAAACATAAATTCTTTGATTTTTTTCAGTTTTTCAGATCTTGTTCCATTTTGTTCGATATATTGTCTAAACCTTGTAATGTCCTTCATTGATTTGATTTTTCGAAATCGATGTTGAATCGTTGAAAAGCTATAATTCGAATGTTCATCGATCCATTCAATAATATTTTCCATGTCCTCCATCGTAAAATTACTACTAATATCCATATACTGATTCTTGACATAATCATCATCTTCATCATCATTACTTTCTTCCTCATCAGTCATGTTATCATATTCATCATTGAATTCAAGAGTTTCATAAGTACAAAATTCACTAAAGTAACTGTTTTTATAAGTCTTTAGAACTTCGAATAATTGTTGAGAAGCAAACATCTCATCGGAATTTGTTACAGCATTTGCAGAGCCAAAATTAGTTTCAGCCAAATGTAGAAGATGTTTCGCAACATTGACTAAATTCATCTCTTTGAGTCGATATTTAAACTTTTAGATGTAATAATTACGACGAAATATCGATAACAAGGCTCTCGGGAACTTTATGTAATGGCCATTTCTTAACACCAATCGCAAAGATATAATCAACAGACCACTAAATGATGCATCAATGCATTTATTTTTTCGTGTCTTTATGTGTGGTTCTATTCGGATATACGATGTGTTTTTTTTTCTAGTTCTATATTATTAAACTTTCAGATAACATTAGAATCATTGCAGATCGAATGTATCTAATATCCACAAGAAAGATTTGAGAAACTTATTGAATAAAAAAATAAATTCTAAGAAAAACAGGTATCAATTTTTTTAAGATCATCAATTTTTATATACCTAAATTTCACATACCTTGAAATTTAAGTAACCTGCTCTAGGTATTCTATGGGCACGTCATATTTTAAATTTGTTAGTTTGGCAGTGAGAGCTTTCATTTGACCCGAATATGTTCGATCTTCTTCACTGGCAGTACGTGACCATCCATTGTAAGATGCATCCAGGTTATAAAAACATTAAAATAAATGAAATCAATGAAAATTATCCTACACCTGATCAAGAAACAATTTTCGAAATTAATAGTGATTTAACTGTTGAAACAATAGATGTTGACATCATTGAAAGAGAAAATTTAATTGAAGGAACAGAAATAGCTAATGAAAATCGTTTGAAAGCATTAGCATTAGGTGATATTGATAATACTAATAATAGTGATGAAGAAATAGATGAAGATGATAAAGATATTCGTACTAAATATAATATTGGTACAGATTCATGTACTCAACCATGTGATTTTAATGACTTTTTAGTCTTTGATAAAGAACCATGCGTAGTAGCACCAGCAGAAAAAAATAAATTAAGTTCATTGTTAACAGATAAAACAATTGAAGCATTAGCTTTTCCTTATTTGTTTCCAGTTGGTCAAGGCTCATATGACGAAGATCGTGAAACGAATCTCAGATGGAAAGAATATTGTAAAGAACGTTTATTTTCATAAGATTCTCGGTTTGCTGCCGATTCAAGTTATATCTTTTATCTACAGTATTTAGGTGACTTGAAACAAGTATACTCCGAAATCAATATTGCTTTCCGAAAAAAATTGCCAATGAGTGCTAAACAAAGCTTGGATGAAGTGCAAATGAAATTTCTAATGAACAAAGATATGATACGTATATCGTCATTTGCAATCTGTTCGAGGTAGTCCACAGTATTGGCATTAACGTCTAAAAGATCTATTCGGAATGACACGCCAATTAGGTTTTTCAACTTTCTTCATTACACTGTCGAGTGCAGATCTACGTTGGAAAGAATTTATTGATACATTTGTACGTCATAGTGGATTTGCAATTAAGAAATCATATACATTTGAAGAAAAAACAAAATTTTTACGAACAAATCCTGTTCTAGCTGCTCGTTTGTTTGAAAGAAAATTTACTTCTTTGATGAAGTCATTTGTGACAGGTGGAGCATGCTGTCTAGGAAATGTAAAAGATTGGTTTGCTCGTATGGAAATGCAATTACGAGGCTCACCACGTTCACATATGCCAACTTGGGTGGAAGGTGCACCTAAATATTTTGGACCCCAAACAGATGAAAAAACTCGCGAAGAAATTGTTAAATTTTGTGACAAATATATTACGACACGATTTCCTTTGTTAGATGAAGATGTCGAATTACATAATATTATCAAAGAAGTACAAACCCATTCTCGTAATCATTCAAAGTCTTGTTTAAAGTATCATAAAACATTGTGTCGTTTTGGATTTCCACGACCTGTTGCTCGTCGTACATTCATATGTGAACCAATGAAAGTTGATAATGACGACGACAAAGAATGCTGTAAAAAAGCAAAAAAACATTCTTACTGAAATGAATGCAGCGATGAATGCGTTAGAAAAAGAGAAAATGTTGTCATGGTCGGATTTTGATAATCTTCTAACAAAGTATAATTGGACATATGATGAGTGCGAATGTGCTATTCGTGTTGTTCATACTAGAACGATCATGATTCATAAAAGGGAACCTAATGCACGATGGGTAAATCAATATAATGAAGAATTATTGAGAGCATGGAATGCCAATATGGATATTCAATTCGTACTTGATCCGTATGCCTGTGCAAAATATCTCATGTCATATACAACAAAACCAGAACGAGAAATGAGTTTATTACTAGAAGCAACTCATAAAGAATGCCGTGAAGGAAGCATGCCAGTACGTGAAGAAATGAAAAAGTTAACAGGTACATTTTTTAATCATTGACAAGTCAGTGTACAGGAGGCTATTTATCGTGCTACTAAAATGCCACTAACATATTCAAGTTGAGGTTTTGTTTTTGTGCCAGCACATTCAAATAGTTGTAAATTTTTAAAATCACAAAATATGTTGAAGGAAATGAATCCAGATGATGAAAATATTTATATGTCGAATTTGGTTGACAAATATTTTGACAGACCGAAAGAACCTGAATTCGACATTTGTATGGCAGATTTTGCATCTGAAAAAGAAATTATATTAATTAAGAAAAATATAAAAAATCAAAAGACGACAATTAAACGATTACAAGCACTCAATTTCGCCGTTAAAAACGATGTAATCGGAATGCTATTATTCGATATCCATATTTTAATCGAGAATCAGATAAGGAAAATTATTTTGAAAATCTACTTTCTCTTTATCTACCAATAAGACGTCGAGATGATTTGAAAAAACCTTATGAACTATTTTATCAAATAGGTGAAGTTTTCGATGATCGACAACAATGTGTAAGAAAAGTAAAAGATATTGTTCTGGAAAATCAAAGAAAATATGAAGCCCATATCAAAGAAACAGGCGAAACAGAATCATTATTCAACGAATTGTCATTGAATATGAAAGAAAATGAATGGGCTGAAATAGTCGCTAATAAAGAAAAAAATAATATATGGTCAAGAGAAATAGAAGAAGAAGATAATCCTGATTTCAATGTAATTCATAAAAAAAAAGAAAAATACGTTTATTGATTTAAAACAAACTTATCGTACTACAGATGAAATGAGACCATTGTTAGAATCAATGAACGAAGAACAACAAGAAATATTTTATCATGTTCGAGAATGGTGTATAAATCGTTTACATAATCCTGATATTGAACCTCTTCGTTTGTTCATTACAGGAGGAGCAGGCACAGCTAAAAGTCACCTCTTGAAATGTCTTCACTACGAAGCAACAAAAATTTTTTCACGTAAAAAACATTTAGAACCTGATGAGAATATTGATGAGATCCATACATTGATCACAGCCTTTACTCTGATCATTTGTCTTGTGATAAACTAAATAGCTATCGATGTAAATTGCATTCCCTCAAATTATTATTTGTTGATGAGGTTTCTCTTATACAATCAAATTTATGGGGTGCCATTCATTCTCGTCTTACTCAAATTATGGGTATGCATTCGAATACAGCTATTTTTGGGAATGTTGGAATAATTGCTATTGGTGACTTTTATCAATGTTCACCAGTAGCATCTTCAAGTATTTATTCTTCTTTGCTTTGGTCTGATCATTTCGAATATGTTGACCTTAAAATCAATGAAAGACAAAAAACAAATTTTTAATTGTCTCAAATGCTGAATCGTATCCGAAAATTAAAGAAAAAAGATGATATGAACAAAGAAGATCACGACATACTTGAAAAATGTCATCAACGTTATTTAAACAAAAAATTTCATCCAGAAGCATTACATTTATTTGCTAAAAATGCTCCGGTGGATGTACATAACGAGGAAATAATAGAGAAAATTTGTACTAATATTCGAATCTTCTATGAAGTCGATAGTAATGATAAAGACATAAAACAAAACGATTCTAAATATTCGAGAAAAACTAATAAAACTCTGCGACTTGCTAGAAATGCTAGAGTTATGATAACGAAAAATATTTCTGTAAACGATGTATTAGCAAACGACGTCAGAGGTCGTATCATAGATTTTGTCGAAAATAATAATACAGAGGTTTCTCGAATAATAATAATATGTGATTCACTTACAGTTGGACGTCATCATCGCATTAGTTGTCCACATTGCCATGGAAAAGATGCAGTATGTGTAACACGAGAACGTGACAGCGTTGATCAACAACATTCTGATTTACGTTCAAGGAAATCAATAAAACAATTTCCTTTACGTCTAAGTTGGGCAATGACTATACATAAAGCTCAAGGCATTACCGTTGATCAAGTTATCATTAGTACAAAGGATTTATTCGGTAGCGGATTGGGTTACACAGCTTTATCACGTGCTCGTTAGAAGGTTTATTTCTTATTGATTTGCATTTTGATAAATTCTATTGTAATGAAAATGTTGATAGAGTTCTTTCTCAAATGAAAGAAATGAGAAAAAACGACCAATATTCCAAGAATCTTCGGAATTTCTAAACATACTATTTCATAATATTGAAGGATTGAAATGTAATTTCAATGCATTTCGACGTCATCATTTAACACCAAAAGCTGATTTTATTTGTCTAGCAGAGATATGATTAAAGAATAGTAATGAGATCGACAAGTTAGAACTTGATGGATATAATCTTTTGCATAAAACACGATTGTCTTCATTTGGATCAGATCATCCACTTCATTCACAAAATGGTGGTCCCAGGTCAAAGATGTACGGCGGAAAATGGCCGGATCCCGAGAAATTCCAGCCAATTCCTGGAAGCAGTGTTCCAAAATCGGATCCGGCATCCGGATCCTGCTTAGTTCCCGCTCATTCTTGCCTTCGGGTGCGATCTTCGGATACGGCCGTCGTTTCCGGTGCGGTTCCCGACTAAGTTTTCTCTTCTAAATCATTCTAACTGGATCCGAGCCGTATATCTGCCGTTTCCGGTACGGTTCCTAACTACGGTTCCGGGGTTTCATCCCGACCACAGGATCCGGTTATATCCCACCTCTTTTCGTTTCGTTGACAAAGCCCATATCCGGCCTTTCAAAGACCTTTGAAAGATATTTCAAAGATCATTCAAAGACTTTGAGACATCTTTCAAAATCCCTTCGAAGACATTGAAAGATCTTTCAAACATCTTTGGAAGACTCCCTGAGCCTTTTCAAGACCTGTCAAACACATTTGGGAGACTTCCTGAGACTTTGAAAGATCTTTCAACGACCTTCAAACGTCTTTCTGAGACTTTCTCAGACATTGAAAGACCTGCCAAAGACTTTTCAAAGACTTCAAAAGATCTTTCAAATATCTTTAGGAGAGTGTGCAAAATCTATCATAATCCTTTCAAAGATCTTTCTATGACTTCAGAGATCTTTGAAAGACTTCACAATCCCTACACGTAATGTGTAAAGACAGAGTTGATGTCGTGCCCACAGCAACTACTCTTCCGAAACCCCGAAGTACCTAAGTAAGTTATTACAATCCGATTTCAAAGTCTTTCGAATTCCTAGACGTAATGTGTAAAGACAGACTTGATGTCGTGCCCCACATAGGGGTGTGAAGTTACCGTTACCAGTTGCCGGTTAATTGGTAAATGTTTAGTAAAGGTCCCCAGCCCTGAACCCTGGGGTCCTGAAGTCTTATTTTTGAAAAAGTTTGGACGGTTTTGAGAAAAATTTATTTTTTCTCAAAAGTCTGATTCCGCATAAAGAGAAAAATTTTCGAAAAAAAGATCTTTCAAAGATCTTTCAAACCGGTTATCACGTTTTTTCGGATGGGAAACGGCCGGTTCCTTCTGGGTTTCCGGCGGGTTCCTCGAGGTTTCGAGGTTTTTCCCGCTGATATCCGGTGGCGGAAAATGAGCGGAACATTCCGTTTCCGGGTACGAGAAATTTCCGGCGGGAATACTGCTTCCAAGATCCGGGTATTTTTCCGACCGGAAAGACACCGGAAACGGGGGGAAAAGACCGGAAATTAGGCCGTTTCTGGCCGGTTTCTACAGGATCCGGAGGCCGGAATCATTGGCCTGGGTGCTTTATATCACTAATAAACGTATTATTCAATAACCAAGCACAGAATTGAAACAATAAATATATAATTATTAGTAATGGAACATTATGCTAATCAATTCATCAATCTACCTGACGGAATATTACTCATTATATTGAAGAAATTAAATGCGATTGATGCTTTCAACTTGTATGGTATAAATGAACGATTAGATAATATAT